AAGTTGAGGCAGCAATTAAGACCCTACAACCCAAAAAAAAGCGCAGGTCCAGATGGGTTCACAGCTGAATTCTACCAGACATACAAAGAGGAGCTGGTACCATTCCTTCTGAAACTATTCCAAATAATCCAAAAAGAGGGAATCCTTCCCAAATCATTTATGAGACCAACATCATCCTGATACCAAAACCTGGCAGAGACAGCAAGAAAACAAAACTTCAGGCCAATATCCATGATAAACACAGATGCAAAACTCTTCAATAAAATACTGGCAAACTGGTTGCAACAGCAGATCTAAAAGCTTATCCACCATGATCAAGTAGGCTTTATCCTAGGGATGCAAGGCTGGTTCAACATACACAAGTCTATATATGTAATTCACCACATCAACAGAACCAAAGACAAAAACCACATGATTATCTCAATAGATACAGAGAAGACCTTTGATAAAATTCAACAGCCCTTAATGCAAAAACCCTCAATAAACTAGGTATTGATGGAATGTATCTCAAAATAATAAAAACTATTTATGACAAACCCACAGCCAATATCATACTGAATGGGCAAAAACTGGAAACATTCCCTTTGAAATGTGGCACTAGACAAGGATGCCCTCTCTCACCACTCCTATTCAATATAGTATTGGAAGTTCTAGCCAGAGCAATCAGGCAAGAAAAAGAAATAAAGGGTCTTCACTTAGGAAAGGAGGAAGTCAAACTGTCTCTATTTGCAGATGACATGATTGTATATTTAGAAGACGCCATGGTCTCAGCCCAAAATCTCCTGAAACTGATAAGCAACTTCAGCAAATTCTCAGGATACAAAATCAATGTGCAAAAATCACAAGTATGCCTATACACCAATAACAGACTTAAAGAGAGCCAAATCAAGAACAAATTGCCATTCACAATTGCTACAAAGAGAATAAAATGCCTAGAAATACAACTAACAAAGGATGTAAAGGACTTATTCAAGGAGAACTACAAACTACTGCTCAACGAAATAAGAGACGACACAAGCAGATGTAGAAACATTCCATGCTCATGGTTAGGAGGAATCAATATCATGAAAATGGTCATACTGCTCAAAGTAATTTACAGATTCTACATTATCCCCATCAAGCTACCAATGACCTTCTTAACAGAACTGGAAAAAAACACCTTAAAGTTCATATGGAACCAAAAGAGTGCCTGCATAGCCAAGTTAATTCTAAGCAAAAAGAACAATGCTGGAGATATCACACTACCTGACTTCAAACTATACTGCAAGGCTACAGTAATCAAAACAGCATGGTACTGGTACCAAAACAGATATACACCAGTGGAACAGAACAGAGGCCTCGGAGGCAATGACACACATTTACAACCATCTGATCTTTGACAAACCTGACAAAAACAAGCAATGGGGAAAGGATTCCCTGTTTAATAAATGGTGTTGGGAAAACTGGCTAGCCATGTGCAGAAAGCAGAAACTGGATCCCTTCCTGACACCTTACACTAAAATTAACTCCAGATGGATTAAAGACTTAAACTTAAGATCTAACACCATAAAAACCCTAGAAGAAAATCTAGGCAAAATCATTCAAGACATAGGCATAGGCAAAGACTTTATGACTAAAACACCAAAAGCATTGGCAACAAAAGCCAAAATAGACAAATAGGACCTAATTAAAATCCAGAGCTTCTGCACAGCAAAAGAAACAGTTGTTAGCATGAATCAGCAACCAACAGAATGGGAAAAAATTTTTGCAATTTATCCATCTGACAAAGGGCTAATATCCAGAATCTACAAAGAACTAAAACAGATTTACAAGAAAAAAACAAACAAGCCCATTCAAAAGTGGGCGAAGGATAGGAACAGACATATTTCAAAAGAAGACATATATGAGGCTGACAAACATATGAAAAAATGCTCATCATCACTGGTCATTAGAGAAATGCAAATCAAAACTATGGTGAGATACCATCTCACACCAGTTAGAACGGCGATCATTTAAAAATCTGGAGACAACAGATGCTGGAGAGGATGTGAAGAAATAGGAACACTTTTACACTGTTGGTGGGAGTGTAAATTAGTTCAACCATTGTGGAAGTCAGTGTGGCGATTCCTCAAGGACCTAGAAATAGAAATTCTATTTCACCCAGCAATCCCATTACTGGGTATATGTCCAAAGGATTATAAATAGTTATATTATAAGGACACATGCACACAAATGTTCATTGCGGCACTGTTTACAATAGCAAAGACTTGGAACCAACCCAAATGCCATCGATGATAGAATGGACAGGGAAAATGTGGCACATATACACCATGGAATACTATGCAGCCATAAAAAAAACAATGAATTCATATCCTTTATAGGGACATGGATGAACCTGGAAACCATCATTCTCAGCAAACTGACACAAGAACAGAAAATCAAACACCACATGTTCTCGCTCATAGGTGGATGTTGAACAATGAGAACACATGGATACAGGGAGAGAAGCATCACACACTGGGGTCTTGGGGGGAAATAGGGGAGCAACAGCAGGGGGTTGGGAGTTGGGGAGGGATAACATGGGGAGAAATACCAGATATAGGTGATGGGGAGGAAGGCAGCAAACCACACTGGCATGTGTGTACCTATGCAACAATCTTACATGTTCTTCACATGTACCCCAAAACCTAAAATGCAATAAAAATAAATACACACTTTTATCTCTTGCTTTGAGTTTTCATTTCTGAAAAGTTCCCATGTCACATAAAAGTGACATTAAATAATTTATATAATTTTATTAATTTGCCTTTTGTTATAGGGGCTCAACCATAATCCTAGCAATGGGAAAGAAAAACATCCTGTACTTTCTACAAGTATATCCAATGTGGTCTTGGCTTTCTATTTAAATATATTGGATAACTATGTTATATGTATATATATATATACATTTGCACAAAAAGTAAGCATTTCTTTGTATCATTAATATATAAATGATACAAAGTCTAAAGAGGTATGCAAAGATTTGGTCTGGGCTCTCTTGGATTGCAAGTCATTTTACATTTTCTTTATATGTTTTGCAGTTTCCGTTCCAGATTTTCTGCAAGCATGTATTTTATAATTTGACAAACTTTTAAAAAAATATTGTTCTGTAGAGAAGGATAGAAAGGGACCAGGCTGAGGCAGATGCCAGTTGTTTTATGGCTGACAGAATAATCGGAGTAAGAAATGTGAGACACGAAATGCAGGGATGAGGACAAATTTGAGAAAGATCATTTAACAAACTAGAACCTACAGAAATTGGACAACGGGTATATGAGTGTGCCATTCCCTGAAGTTGGAAATACAGCAAACTAACAAGTTTGGAATGGGGAGAAGACAAATAGGATATTTGGGACTGTTGAGTTTGAGATGCCTGGGGACCTCTAGACAAGGTTGTCTAATAGATAGTGGGATATAGATCTGGAACCTTGAAGAGTGGTATCAGATGACAGTACACATTTGGGAGTCATGTTGTATAATTGTTCATTGTTTTGATGCAGAACATAATGGAGAGCCTTCACAGAAGCACACTGAACAGAAGATAAAGCTCTAGGGAAGAGTGAGGTAAATTGAGAGAAGGCTGAGGATGCTAAGAGCAACCAGAAAATCAGAGTGTAACATAGCAAAACCAAGCGAAGATAATTTCAAAAAGAAACAGACATGGCCAGAGATAAGAATTTTTTGGTAAGACTAAAGACCATGCTTTTTGGATTGCTAGTCAAGATTGTACGTGATCTTAATGAAGCTTTTTCTGGAGTGGTGCCAGTGAAAGACAGATTGTAAAAACTTGGGAGGCAGAAGGAGGCTCCGAATGTAGCAGGTTTGGAATGACTTGGTGAATGTAGATCATCTTCTCAGGAAGCATGGGAACAAACAAAGAGGGTGAGGGTCTCAGGCATTTTTACCTGTCAAAGACTGCTTTTCTTGTCCATAAAACAAGGAAATACAGGTAGTACCTTTTTAGCAGTGGTGTCCTAAGGATTAAAATCTATTACTAAGGAAATATACTTGTGTCCTTTGGCTGAATCAAAATTTATTGTTGCTAATCACCATGTATTCATTTTCATAATGTCTTAATCATTAAAGTCGAGTGAATAACAAAACACAGTTAACTGGCTCTGTGTTTCCCTAGCTCAAGTTATTTGACTGTATATACCCAAGTTTGACCTTAAAAGATATTAATATTTCATTCCTTTAACACTTGGAGCAAGGACAGTTTCAGTTTGGTCTGGAAATAAGGCAGAATTTCTCCTCTCATTGTGCCTTCCAAACTGAAGAAGTGGCCTCAAATGGAGATCCTAAGAGGAAATGTCACTTGATTTATGAATCAGTGTACCCCACTGAGAATACCTATTGTGGATCAGTTTAATATCCCAAAATTTCTTCAGATCCAACTATTGGCATCTCTGTCAAGAGATGTCTTGACAGACACTTTTCCTGTTTTGAAGGTTTCAAAAGACCTAATGAGTTTATGCTTTATGAAGTCATACAGCCATGGATGTGATGTCACAATTGTGGCCAGCTCACCAGGAAGCAGGCAGAGCAGGAAAGGCTGAGTCCACACTGCAAGTGCAGAAAGCAGGAAACTACCTTGAGTTTTTCTATCCAAACCCAAGTCTCAGAGTTCCTCAATTTCCCAAGAAGGCAGTGATAGAGGCCACAACCCAGGGGTTCATCTCTCAAGGCACCAATAGCTTTGCAGGTAAGAACATGGGGCCTCCTCTCTTTCCAGACAGTGCAACGGAAAAGCTCAGCAGTTCAGACATTTCTAACCTAAAAGAAGGGTTCTGATCACCAGAAAACAAAACAAAACCAAAAACAGATTGAGGAAACAGAAAATACATCATCCTTTTAGAGTATTACTTTTTATAAATATGCCCTTAATTTAGCCTAGTTAGTGAAAATTTCTCAAGTGTGTATGTGTCTGTACGAACGTTGTGTATTTTAAACTTTTTGGAGCTTAGCCAGAAATTTCGAAAGCTAATCCTAGCAAAATTTCCCTTTAAGGATGTCCTGCAGAGAATTTGTTACTCGTAGTTTGAAGTAAAAATTGACAAGAAGTGCTTTTTCAGCTCTGGAGGAGTCATGTGCATGTCATAAGACTTGAAGGAAATGCAGGGACCCTCCTATTTTCTCCTGCAAAGTTGAAAAATCTGCATGCCGTTGGAAGGGATCTTCAGATGCTGCTGGTGACTTTCTGTTCCTTTTGGAGTTGACATGTATATGGATTGGAGGAAAAATAATCAGCATACATTCTCCTTTCATACTGTTTAAATCACAGGAAGAAGTGCCTTGAAGACAAAGTGAGTTCTTTCCCCGAAAAGTTTCCTTTGTTTGTTTATGTGGTATTTTGACTTCTCTAATTGTTTAAGAATGAGAAATTTTAATAAACCTTACAGTAACTGCTTAAGAGAAAACTTTTGCTTGGAAAAAAAATGTTTTGAAGTTTCTTAGCCATTTTAGCTAAAGATTATCAAATTTTATATGCTAAGATTTTCAGATTTCTCATTCTTCTAACTTGCATGCGGAGGTAACATAGTGACCAGATAACTCTCTGGAATTGCCTCTTGAGTTTTTCTAATGCTCTTAATGCGGGTATAGCTTTATTGATATAAAAAGAAGAAGAAGAGGAGGGCTCTTGAGATTTTATTTGGCTTAATTTATTTGAATGAATAACATTATCACTGAGGATATTTTATCACTAGATTTATATTTTGAGAGCACATTCTGAAGACACTTACAGGTTTTAAGTAAAAGGAGTTAATGAGATTCCTGCTATTTTCAAGAAAAATCTGCCTACTTTCCAGAAGTGGGCATACAAAAATTCATAATCTTAAATTTCCTAAGATTAAAATATCTGTGTTTTCAGCCCACAGAGATATATAATAGACTATATCAATCTAAAGTGCTACTTCTTGAAACGGAGGTAGTGTTGTTATTCAGGCGAAAAGCATACATCCCATATGTGTTAATGCATTCTGTCACTACTTTAGTCATATCCTCTTTGGTGCCTATCATTCATTTGAAAACCAAAGCAGCTCCTCAGCTGTCAATTTAGACTTTGAAAATCGGAAACTAAAAAGAAACATTATTAACAAAATGCTTAGCTCTTATATACAAAACATTAGAAAATCCTTGAGCCATTTTAGCCATCATTTCATATCCACAATACCACCATGTATAAATGCTGGTATTTTTATTAGCAAAGCATATGGATTAAAATTTAACTTAAGTATTTCAAACATATGTATTATACAAGATATTTCTTAACATATGTGTTATGATATATGCTTAAAGCCATAATCTAAATTGCTTAAGGGGAAGGTAAACTCTGGTGTCTGTTTTCTACATTTGTTGTTTCTATTCTCACATTATCATTGGTTGCCAATTCTGGGACTGTTCTACCTAAGCAAGAGCAGGAGATTTGTGTGTTAACATAACACCTCACCTCACTGACAAATTCACCTCTTATTTTTCTTACACTTGCCAACATTTTGAGTAAAGCTGAATTAATTTGTATATCTTACACAAGACTGGGTACTTTTCTACTATAATATTACAACTAAGTGTTTAGAATATTTAGACAAGCTTTGATTTGTTTCTGTTTTTATTTTTATGTTTTCAATCAAGGGAACATGATCTCTTCAGAAATGAGAGCCGAATACTTGGGTTCGCATGGGAAGCTCTGAATCAGATATTAGTTAAACCAGTTTGCATTTCCTTGTTCTTGTAATTGTCTTTTATTCTCTGATTATCATCATTTTTCTTGGTTACATTTGGTACCCTGAAATCTGATTGAAGAAGAGGAAGAGAAGAGGTAGAGGAAGAGGAGGAGAAAGAGGACTCCTTTTTGCCCAACATGCCTCAAATCCCTACAAAATAATCAGCTTGAGGCCAGGCATCATGGCTCACTTCTGTAATCCTAGCTTTGGGAGGCCAAGGCAGGGTGATCACTTGAGCCCAGGAGTTCAAGACCAGCCAGGGCAACATAGGGAGACTCTATTTAACATAAAAATAAATAATAAGCTTGCTGATGACATACCCTAGTATTTTATGTGACCTAGTAAGACATTCTTATGGTTTGTATTCACCTTATCCTCACCATATGTCTAAACTTTCACACAGGCTAATTACCCTGATTAGAACATACTGTATGTCAACAGGAAGGTTTAAATTCATTAAATAAATAAAGTTAGAGAGTCTATTTGAAAGCAATAGCGTGATGTGGAGAAGAAAGTCAAGGTTTTGAGGTGTCATTCATGCTGAGTCTTCTATGAACGAGGGCAGGTTAGTTTGCCTTCCTACCTTAAAGCTATAATTAAAACAGTTGTGTTATAGAATTTTATATTAGAATAATAGTAACAGTAGTCATTTTTATTTTTATTTCTTCTCAAATTTTTCAGTTTTACTTCTGGCACTGATGAACCTTAAATTTTTCTCACTTAATTTTCAGCTATGAGCTATTCCTTTGCATATTCATTTTGTCAAAGGAGTACTCACCAAATGGATCCTGAGTTTTATTTTTCAGTAGATTATTTTGATAAGATTGTCTCCTCACATTTAAAAATATGCCTTTTTGTATTATTTCATATTTCATTGCAATTATAATGCTCTGAAGATGGTGGTGTGGCAGTGGGATGGAGAAATGTGCTTCTGAGGCTTATTCTCTAGCTTGATTCTGTTTAATTAACTTTTACAATTATTCGTAAAACAATTTACAGAACATCTCGTAAGTCATATGTTCTAATGTTTCTTAATTTTTTTCTTTTTTGCTTTCATTATTATTACTATAGACACATAATTGTACATATCTATGGGGTACAATGTGATATTTGTATACATGTATAAAACAAATTAGCAAATCAGGGCAATTAGCATATTTACCATCTTAAATATGTATCATTTCTTTGTGTTGGGAACATTTAAAATTCACTCTTCTAGCTATTTGAAAATATACAATAAATTGCTAATTATAGTTACGCTATAGTGCTATAGAACACTCAAACTTATTCCTCCTATCTAGCTGTATTTTGTGTTTCTTAGCCTACCTTTGGCTATCTCTTTCTTCCCCCTACCCTTTTCTGCTTCTAGTAAGCGCTATTCTGCTCTCTACTTGTATGAGATCGACTTTTTTTAGCTTCTTTATATTCATGAGGACGTGCAGTATTTATCTTTCTGCGTCTAGCTTATTTCACTTAAAATAATGTCCTCCAAGCTCATTCATGTTGCCTTGAATGACAGAAATTTGTTCTTTTATGCAACTAAATAATATTCCATTGGTATATATAGCACTTTTTTTATCCATTCACCTATTGATGGAAATGTAGGTAATTTCATGTCTTGGCTATGTATTGTAAATAGTGCTGCAATAAACATGTGAATACAGATAGCTCTTTGACATCTGAATTTCCTTTCCTTTGGCTATATATCCAGTAGTAGGATTGTGGGATCATACAGTAGTTCTAGTTTGAATTTCTGAAGCACCTTCATACTGTTTTCCATAATGGATATACTAATTTACATTCCTCCAAATAGCATATAAGAATTTGCTTTTCACCACATACTCTCAGTTTTTTGTCTCTTTGGTAATAGCCATTCTAACTGGGGTGACATAATATATTCTTATACTTTGGATGTGCATAACCTTGATGATTAATGATGTTGATCATTTTTTGTACATACCTATTGGCCATTAGCATGTCTTCCTTGAGAGATGTCAATTCAACTTATTTGCCTACTTTTTAATGTGATTTTTTTTTTGCTATTAAGTTGAATTTATTTTATATTATGAATACTAAACTCTCATCAGATAGTTTGCAAATATTTTCTTCTATCCTGTAGGTTGTCTTTTCACTCTGTTGTTTCCTTTGCTGTGCAGAAGCTTATTAGTTTGACAATATTCCATTTGTCTATTTTTGCTTTGGTTGTCTGTGTTATTGAGGTCTTATCCATGAAATCTTTGCTCACAACAACATCCTACAGTATTTCCCCCTATGTTTGCTTCTAGTTACTTCATAGATTCAGGTCTTATATTTAAGTTTTTAATCTATTTGAGTTGATTTTTACATGTTATGTGAGATAGAAATCCAGTTTTATTTTTCTGCATATGAATAGTCAGTTTTCCCAGCATCATTTTTCAGACTGTTCCTTCTCCATTAAATGTTCTTGGCAGGTTTGTTAAAAATCCTTTGGCTGTATATGTGAATTTATTTCTGTGTTCTCCATTCTGTTCTATTGTTTTATGTATCATTTATATGCCAATATTATGCTGTCTGGGTTACTATAGCTTTGAAATATATTTTGAAGTTCAACAATGTGATTTCTCCAGCTTTGTTCTTTTTGCTTGGGATTGCTTTGGCTATTCAGGGTCTTTTGTGGTTTCATATAAATTGTAGGAGGTTTTTTTTTCTATTTCTGTGAAGAATGTCATTGGTATTTTGATAGGATTGCACTGAATCAGTAAATCACTTTTAGCCGTGTCATTTTTACACTATTAATGTCTCCAATTCATGAACATGAGGTATGTTTTCATTTTTGTGTCCTCTTCAATTTTTATCATCAGTGTTTTGTAATTTTTTTTGTAGAGATGTTTCATCTCCTTGGTTAAATTTATTCCTATGTGGGTTGTTTTTTGTAACTATTATAAATGCAATTTGTTTCTTGATTTTTTTTTTCCACTAGTTTGCCTATGGTATATAGAAAAGCTACTGGGTTCTGTTATGTTTATTTTGTATCCTGCAACTTTACTGAATCTGTTGATCAGTTCTGAGATTTTTGGTGGAGCTTTTATGGTTTTCTACATAGAAGTTCTTGTCATCTGCAAATTAGGACAATTTGACCTCCTTTACAATTTACATACTCCTTATGTCCTTCTCTAGCCTAAGTACTCTGTCTAGGGCTTCCAGTAGTATGTTGAATAAAAGTGATGAAAGTGAGATCATTGTCTTGTTCCAGATCTTAAAAGCTTTAAACTTTTCTCCATTCAATGTCGTGTTGGCTATGGGTTTGTCATACATGGCTCTAATTGTGTGGAAGTACATTTTTTCTGTACCTAACATGTTGATAATATTTATCATGAGGGGATGTTGAATTTTTCTCAAATACTTTTTCTGTATCTATTGAGATGATCAAATGGTTTTGCCCTTCATTTTGTTGATGTATTGTATCACATTTATTCATTTGTGTATTCCATCCCTGAGGTAAATCCTACCTACATGGCGAATAATCTCTTTAACATGCTGCCGGATTGGTTCACTAGTATTTTGTTGAGGATTTTTCTTTTTTCTTTTTTACTATTATACTT